GGCTCAGGAATAAAGTCACCGACCGACTCAAACTAGACGTAGGGCACGTTGCCTGAACCAGTATAAACCCTGTGTCATTGAGTGCTAGGCCACCTCCGATTACAACGTACGGCAAAACTACAAATATTTACTTGTTGGTCACTTTCTGCACCGACATCTTGTCTCCGAGGATTTCATTGTTATTCATTGTGATTGATCTCTTGCCTGGCTCGGTACATCATTCCTAGCACTTGTAGTTATATTCATATATACTTGTGTAGTGCTAGTTGTAGCTAGTGAGTAGAGTAGTTTAGTTAGTTGTAATTACTCTTGCTAGATTGCTCACTAGTGGTAGTAAGTAGTGACTTAGCCATTGATTGTTACACAGAGATCATAGCAACTAGACTTGTGGATAGGTGGCTTGCAACACTTGTAGTGCTAGTGCAAAACTCGCATTACCCCATTTAGTGTTCTAACCATTTGTCTTAAGGGTTGTTGTAGAAAATATTTATAGGCTATTCACCCCACCTCTAGCCATTTAGGACCTTTCAAGCGCGCGAGCACCACAAGCACTGGCCATGCTCGTGGGTGCCCTTGGTTCGGCCGGGGATGACCTGAGGCGGCCCTGCACGTGCACCAGCGGCGAGGCATCCCGACTGCGCTGAGGTTGGAGAAGAGGCCGAGGAGGTGCTCTGTTACCAGCAACACGAGAGAGAGATCGAGAGGTGGGGAGGGTGAGAATAGGGAGAGCAGAGGCAGGCGGCACGTGCGACAGTGCGGGAACGAGCGGCGCGTGTGATGACGTGGGAGCGAGCGACGTTGCTGGGGCACGCAGCGGGCGGGAGCGAGGACCGAGAGGTGCGGGTGGGATGATGTGCGACGGGCGGGAGCGAGGAGCGAGGGGACACGGCAGCATCGAGGTGGAGTGGGCGTGCGGTGTTCGGACGGACGGACGCCTAGGTCTAATCATTATCGAAGTAACAAACATAAAGTAGTAGTATCAGACTTTACGAAATTAGAAAGGGCATGATAGTTGGTAGATACTGAACAACAGCATGCATTTCAAGCTTTTCCATAGATGGCTAGACGCTAGATAACAAGAGTAGGAGCAGTAGTGCAAGCTGCTCCTTGCGGCCATCAACTCGCGTCTAGAGAAAATCAAGACAAACCAGGAGAAAACTAAGGCCCAGTTTAGTTTGCAAAAATTTTCACCCTAAACTATCACATCAAATCTTGCAGTACATGCATGGAGTATTAAATATAGACGAAAAAAAACTAATTGCACAGTTTGGTTGGAAATCGCGAGACGAATGTTTTAAGACTAATTAGTCCATGATTAGCCATAAGTGCTACAGTACTAACATGCGCTAATGATAGATTAATTAGACTTAATAAATTCGTCTCGCAGTTTCTAGACGAGCTATGTAATTAGTTTTTTATTAGTATCCGAAAACCCCTTTCAACATTCCCGAAATATCCGATGTGACATCCAGAAATTTTCATTTCGCGACCTAAGCCTAACTCGTGGCGATCAACGGACGCTGGTGGCTCGATGCGTGTTTGTTGTGAATCGGGTAGGCCTAACTCGTGGCGAATCAACGGACGCTGGTGGCTCGATGCGTGTTTGTTGTGAATCGGATAGGGGTAGGGATGACAGATGTTTAGGTGCGTGTTTGTTGTGTATCGGGTAGGGATGACAGATGTTGAGATAAGTCTACTTCCATGGGCTAAGCCGTATCGGTGTGAGTTGCAACTGGGTCGAGATACCTATCACCTCAAGTACCTAGTTTTTTTTTTTTTTATGTCCCATACTTTTCTAATATGTATCGATCGCCCCGTATCCGTATCGGATACATATCGATACGGGATACGCCTCCTACCTGACGTATCAGGGTATCATAGTCTGCCACTGCGTACGGATAACTAACTGATTAGGAAGGGTATTCGTTAGGAATGAAAACGGATCGGATACGGACGAATATCACCGATATTACATTTGTTTTCATATTTCTGTTCGGATTCGGATTTAAATACTATCAACTATGTCGGATAGGATACTATTAGGTATCGACATAAAAAATATACGATTTGAGTATTCAGATACGGATATGGTATCGGATATTGAATATGCGGACTCGGTATGGACAGATCTGAATCTCTCTAAACAAATTCGGTCTCGATTACGATCAGAAAATATCCTTAGTGTTTTCATCCCTAAGTATTCGAGTACGGATCAATCTTACTTTACTCTAATGATCCCAGTTAGTAGTACTCTAAAATAATAGAGTATTAAACTAGTGGTATGGTCTGCGTATGCTCTGGCAGCGCCGATCGCCGGTGTACTATTCTAGACGGCGGCTTGCGTGCAGTGCGCGCGTGTGTGAGTAAATAACGTCAAGTGCGTGCGTGGTCCGATCCCGGTCAGAAATACGATTCCCACATGTCTTGCAAGCTTGGCATGGAGCGTGCTTGGCTGATGTACCCTGATGGAAATGTTTGTCTCGGTATTTTCTTTTTTTTTTAATCGAACACAGCTTGGTAATTCCAAGGCGTCAATCTCTCCTTGTCCAATCACTCGCACTGTCGCTGCTGAACAGGGGACTTTGTGCAAGAGATGTATTGAAGATTCTGCAACCATGCTCGGGAGAGAGAGAGAGGGAGAGAACGAGGTTCTGAAGCCCTCATCATGAAGCTAGCTTCCTGATTAAGGCAGCGTTTAGTTCGGCCACCGAACCGGATTCTGGGTGCACTGTAGCTACGGTAGCGTTTTGTTTTTATTTAATAATAATTGTCCAATCGTTGATTAATTAGGTTCAAAACGTTCGTCTCGTAAAGTACAACCAAACTGTGCAATTAGTTTTTGATTTCGTCAACATATAGTACTCCATGCATGTACCGCAAGTTTGATGTGACGGGGAATCTTCTTTTTGCATAGTGCCAAATTCTGAAATTTGGGGCAACTAAACATGACCTAAAATTCTGCTAATGCGTTCCCCCAACAAAAAAAAAAGAGATTCTGCTAATGCAACATGATTTCGACTCCTGGAAAATATATTCAAAGAAAGCATGTGAATCAATGTCCAGTAGGTTGTCATGAAAGATGATGAGAAAAACTGAGCAGGATCCCAATATGATACTACTAGCCTTCCACCTCCAAGATGGCCTTTTGAGTTTTGGGTCCATCATCTCCTAGATTGCAAAAGCAGGAATAACCAGGCATATGTATGGCCTGTTACAGAGTTTGTCGCGCAATTTTGGTTGCTCTGAGCGAGTGCTTGCTGTCAAAACTGTTACTTTAACATGATTAACATGCCTCGTTTACATCAGCCTGTTCGCTTGCCTATACAATCATGGATTATAAGCTGGAACATAATTTTTCTCTCACATTAAACTAGCCAGCAGTAAATAATCCACGATCGTTTACGACGAAACGAACATGCTGAATGCAATATAGACATCATATAGGCATACAATTTTACTAGTTCTAGGCAAAGTTGAAAAACACACCAGGCCATATATAGTAATAAATAACCGAGAAGCTAGTGTCCGGATGTCCGGACAGGCACCCGCGCGGGCTAGGCCGATTCCCTGCACCTCGTTTCCCATGCCTGCTCATCTTGCGTGCCCATGTGAGGCCCGCGCCGCCCGCATGTCTGTTGCGCCGTCTGACCACACGTGAGGACCGTCTGCCCACTTGGTGGTGCCTCGGCAACCGCAGCTGCGCGGCTGCGGCAAGTGGATCATATTTAACATGTGCAACATCCGATCTACTTTTGTAATATTCAGATGAAACACTTGCAACATACGTCTGAAACAGCTGAAACACTTGCAACATATGTCTGAAGCATTTGCAAAACACCCGAAAAACTTAAAAACACATGTGTAGCCCTTGCAAACATTACAACACCCAGATAAAGACACTTACAACAACGTGTAAAAACACTTGAAACACTTGCATATATATGCAACATCTAGATCTATTTTTGCAACATCCAGATGAAACACTTATAATATACGACAGATGAAACATTTGCAACATACACTTGAAACATACGTTAAGCCATTCCAACATGTGCAACATCCCGATCTACTTTTGCAACATCGATACAAAATATTTGCAACATACCTCTGAAACATTTTAAACACTTGCAACATACACTTTCAATGTAATGTCACCTTGATGCTTGGACGAATGGAGGCCCGTCGGCGCAGAGACCAGCGGCGGCGCATGGAGCTCACAGCGGCGTGGAGGTCGGCGCCGGCGCCAGAGGTCCGGTGCGGACATGTCGCCGGCGGATAGAGCACAGCCGCAGTAGGAGGCGCGACTGGGCAGGTGCTTGCAGCGGCGCGAAGGTCGGCGACAGTGCATGGAGCTTGTGCGCGGCGCGGGCATCTCGCCGGCTGATAGAGCGCAACTGCGGCAGGAGGCGCGACTCCGAGCAAGGGGCGCACAGTGTGCAGCGCAGGCTGAAGCGTGCGGCGCGCAGCGCGGGGCGGTCTAGTCCGTCCGTCCGGACGCCCTGTAGTGAGCATTTCCGAATAAATAATGGTTAAAGAAACAAACGTTTCTCCAAAATGATATACAGCTATACGGGTTAACCTTTTTTATTTTTTTGCTGGTAGCTATTCAATGACGAAGGAAAATATTGTAACAGGAAAACCTACGTTGCATGCTAATCTTCAATTCTTAATACTAGGCCAAAGGGGTTGACAAATTATGCTACGCCCTAGTCAGAACGACTTATAATTTACGATGGAGTACTAAACCAGGTAAATGAACACTATATTCCAAAATCAGTATTGTATGCAAACACCGGGGAGCTGAAATGAATACAGCACTTGGACACAAGTACACAGAAATGCACAAAAAAACAATTGCCTCCCAAACGTGGGCTCCTTTTGCAGTGATGCATCATTGACAGCCCAATTTACAAACATGGTCTCGACAGACCAAACTCTGAGAATTCATTGTACATCACAATCTATGGATGAAATAAACACTGAGGATCTGAGATACCAGGTTAGCTCCTCAAGCTATAGGACACAGGTCCATCTTCTTTCTCACAACTCGGGGGCAAGGCATTCAGTTGTGGTCTCACTGGTTCCAACCATGAGTGTTCTTTTGAGCCTGGTGTTTGAAGACTACAAGTCTGCAACACAACAAGTTCAACTCATTAAAACATAAACATTTTCATAGGCCAGTGACAAAATGTGACGCTGAATACCTGCTCCCCCATGACAAGTTGGCGGCAAAGTCTAGATAGTCGTAGTTTCTACCAAATTTATGTCCTCATCAATAAACAACATCACAGCTGTCATCACAAGCCTGTTAAATTCATAGAAAATATGAGCAGTTAGATTATGCAACATATTGTTCTTAGCTGGCAGGGAATTACATGCTAGAACAAATTCCGAGATAAAGTAACAGTATATGGAAACAATTAATCTGCCACTACCAAAATCAGTAAGATAGGTATATGTAAGGTCAAGCCTATAATACTGAGTATTGCTCATGATTGTTTGTATGCTTGAAAACATGGAGTGAAGACAGCATCGTATTTGATTTCCCAAGTCATATTCTCACTAACCCTTCAGTAATCTCTTCAAACCACTAACAGGTGTAAACTTCACAATATTTTCCAATGATAAAGTATGTTAACTTACACAATGATAAAAATATTAATATAAAGACATTTCTGTTCGTATAACATGGAAGGCTAGTATGGGGGTATGGCCAGTTACAAGGGTTTGATAATGTCCTCGAGGTTTTTGAATAACTGATATCAGAGTTAGCACTATCAAATGAATGCATATGGTATTCCAATTCCCCAAAATATTAATTAAGAAATAACCTAAGTCAAACCTGTAAATAGTTATAATAAATAGGCAGAAGTAGAAGGCAAGCTTGATCATCCTGTACTTCTTCTCGCCACTTAATTGTCTAAAAATTTCAGTGACATCTACAAGATGTTTCCGAGCCAAGTACCTGAATAAAAAATATGATATGATTTTATTTGATTATCAATAACGAGCATGAAAGGACAAGAAACAAATAAATAGAACTTCAATTTACAAATCAAAGTTCTTCTATAGGACGGCATTAAAAATAAATACAAGCATCTATGTTGCTTCACTTTACAAAAAGCTTATTAACTAATCATAATCATTTAGATATTAAAGCCTGGCAAAAATTAATTTAGAAAAGCATCTCGGATATCCCACCAAAATAAGTTCACTAGTTATCGAGATCCAAACTAGTTCAATGCCAGGGGGCATTTATACCTAATCCTCAACAAAGGGGGAAAAAAAGAACTCTAAATCAACTGAAAACTCAAACAGAGTGCTGAGAAACTATTGTCATGGCTGTTAAATTTCAAGAAGAGGGTGAAGGGAGATTTTTTTTTCCACATGTAATAGTAAAAAGTTGGGTGCTTGCTAATATCTGAGGAACTAAAATCAGTTGTTACCCAGAGAAGAGTTCAGCTACATTATAGTTGTATCCTACCAGAACAAACTAAGAATCATTTTCGTTAATCATTGTTAAGCCAACAATATTTGGAATCAACAGTTCATGCTGATTACTAAATAATTACAACAAAATATTACTTAATGATTCTTTTCTAGCACATACTGATAAAAAGGAAACTATTTATCTTGGCAAATAAAGTGCACATAGCGCGATTCAGAGTTGTTGCACTCATATTCCAGCACTAATGAAAATTAACTAGCTAACAAATTTTGGTAGTGAGGCTTATAAAATTGGAAGGTATAATACTAGAATAGGTGCACTACCTTCTCCCATTTGCTAATACCCTGAGTCCCTGACCAATATTCTCCCATTTTCAGAGAAGGAATTGCTACAGGACCAAACAAAAAACACATGGCCCAGAACATGTGGAAAACTACAAATTATCACCCTAGAAGCACAGCATCGCCATCCCTAAATTCTAAAATTGATATGTTCTTACTTAGCTGTTCCATTGAGCCACTGAGGCTTGTAGATCATCTCAAGTATTATTTCCATGTATATAAAAATAATCAAGATGTGAGTGCAGCCAAAAGTATGAACAGCATAGTATCCAATGATGAATAATATGAATATTCTGTTATAATTAACATCAAGCGAAAGTAACACGTACAGTTTCACATGGTAGTATGTCACTGGTGCCATGACTAGAAACGGGAACCAATGCAATGTCAAGAGGAAAGAAGCACACAGGGCCCCTTGGAGTGCGTATTCTATCAGCACCACAGCATTGATGCGAGATGACGAATCATATGGGTTGATATAGTCATACTCCAAATCTGACAGACAGATAAGCTGGTATAAAAGCAGAAAGGCAAAATCAGTTGAACAAATCAACAAGAGCAGATCAACTAACAAGAAGCCTGGCAAATTGGTGCATAAATTACTAAATTTACTTCTAAAGACTACAACTCGTGTAACAATATTAAAAATGAGCTGTGTTGCTGCCAGCTGCCATCATGGTTAGGCTTTATGTCTGATCCGGTGAGGTTGGAGTCACTGATCAATAATGTTGAATTTGAGCTTTAGACACCATAAAGTGGTGATAACTCAACTGCCACAAATGACAAGCTGGTTTGACACCAAGTAAAGGACTACAGTCATGAGATATATGATTACATCCATCAAGTCCTAGCAGGTGGTACTAACATTCCAAACAGACCAATAGGCAGTAGCAGCATGTGTTTAACAAGACTACCTTATAAGAAAAATTGAAGACCACTACCATATCTTGGCTCATAAACAGAAATTGTTGTATCTAACCCAAGAAAATTGGAATATTATAAACAAATACATTGGGCCTTTTGTACACAAAGACGATTTATCGAGGAGCTAGCACTAGCAATCAACAGGAAATTTTCTTTTTCTTTGAGAAAAAGGAAAAATTTATCCGGCAGTTTATCTCGTCACCATCCTCCACGGAATGAATGGCACGGGAAGAACAACACCGTTGACTAAACTCCGCATCAAATCCCCACGAAATCACGGCAGCCTTAGGCCGAAAGCGGGCAGAGCTTCGCCGGCCGCGCGCAAGATTTGGACCACACTCGCCGTCACAGGGTGAACTGTTAAGAGATGCAAAGGGGGGCATCGGGCTTGCCTGGTGCGCGGTGAGGCCGATGAGGACCATGACGGAGGCGAAGGAGAAGAGCCACAGGATGAGCTCCACAGACATGGCTGCCGCAAGGGTTGACGACTCCTCGCGAACAGCTCGGCGAGCAATCGATCTAAGAACGCTGGCGCCCCGCCCACTCGCTCTGCTTCTCGCGGGCGTTCCGAATGGAAGGGGCCCTAGACCTGCCTGGTGACTCCGCGCGCCCCGCGGTCACAATGGCGCTGTGGGCGCCGGAGACGGGAGAGGCGGCGGTGGGGCGGCGGGTTGGGATGGGGAGAGGGGATAGGGGAGAGGAGCAGAGCAGGTGGGTCGTGCTTTGCTACTTGCGTTGCGTTGCGTGCGACGAGAGTCGGTCAGACGGTACAACAGTGCCCCTGCTGCTGCTGACTTCATAGACTTTTTTTTTCGAACAAACAGGAGGGCAGCGAGACTGACGGAAGTGCATGAGAAAAAAGAGAGTACTCTCTCTATCTTAAACCCAATTTCTAAATTATTATGGAGATCCACACCACCAAAACACTGCTAAAATATGGATGGATGTGAAAGCTTTTGTTGTAAAATATCCAAACTTGCCGATGTTTTGCATTGGGGATTTGAATAATGCTAATGAAAAGCTAGGGCCAGCACCAGTTCATGTCAGACGTATTTCTGATTTCTGTTGCATGGTTAAGAACTGTGGTTTGTTTGATCTAGGTTACAATGGACCAGCTTACACCGGACTAATAAACGTTTTAACTCTAATCCCACTTTTGAGCATTTGGATCGTTTCCTAGGCAATGCAGAATGGTGTACAGCTTTCCCCACTACCACAGTCTACCATCTCCCTGTGATGCTAAGTGGTCATGCGCCCGTCCTGGCGGTCCTCAACTCCAACCAAACTAAAACTAATAAATCTTTCAAATTTAAAAATTGGTGGCTTTTGGAACAGGACTTTCAACAGGTGGCGAAGAATAGCTGGCAAAAATCCTCTCGGCGTCCCTTTCAACACAAAACTAGATATCTTGCCTCAGACCTTAGAGCCTGGAGAAAATCTAAACCGCGACTCACTGACCAGCTACAAACTATTGAACAACAACTCCTCCAACAACAACTCCAACTGCCCCATCTACAAAACCAGATCCTTCAAAAAGACCTTACTCATCAACATCACATTATCCTAGCCAAACAAGAAATTTTCCACGGACAGAGATAAAAAAAACCTGGACCATCAAAGGAGACAAAAATACTTCCTTCTTCCACCAATCCATCCTCAAGCGAGCAAGAAGAAACCGTATAACCCATCTTCAAAATCCGGACGGCACCACCTCGACCACTCCAGATCAGCTGGCACTCACCGTCAACCAACACGTCACGGATATTTTCACATCACAAAACACATTGCAGGCCCCGGAAGACAATGCTGAAGAAAATCAGACTAACACCTCGGGGAATCAGGTATCTATAACTGACGCTTACACTCTATCTATCCCTGATTTACAGGAAATTCACACCATTGTCAAGCAAATGAGAAGTAATGCAGCTCCAGGACCTGATGGCCTCAATGCAGCTTTCTACAAGGCAGCTTGGAGTTGGCTTGGCTCAGATGTTCATCACCTTGTCTCAAATTTCTATCAATCTGCTCATCTGTCTGACACTTATATTGCACTCATCCCTAAAAAAACTGCTCCTGCCACACCCAAAGATTTCCGTCCCATTAGCCTCTGCAATGTGAGCTACAAAATTATTGCTAAATCCCTGGCAGACCACATCAAACATCACCTTTCTCACATCATTCACCCAACCCAAGCTGCTTTTGTTCAAGGAAGACACATTGCTTCTAACATATCATAGCCCAAGAAACTGTTCACTCCTTCAACCTCAAATCATGGAAGCAAAAAGCCTTCATGCTCAAGCTCGATCTAGCTAAGGCTTTTGACCGTATCGAATGGAGTTTCATTGTGTCTGCTCTTCGTAGACAGGGCTTCCAAGATCACTTCATTTCCCTTATCCACGCTTGCATCACCACCACCTCGCTTTCCGTGCTTATCAATGGGGAGCCGACTTCAGCTATTTATCCTCAGCGTGGCATCAGGCAAGGCTATCCTCTTTCTCCTTATCTTTTTGTTCTTGCTGTTAATGAGCTCTCCCTTCGCCTTCAAAGCAACCTGCATAACAACATCCAGGGTATTATGCTTGGTCCCAATAGTCCCAGAATTCACTCCTTGATGTTCGCTGATTACTTAATAATCTGCGGTCAGGCATCGGCTTCTGAGGCTATCAACATCAATAACACTCTCCAGCATTTCTATACTGTCTCTGGACAGACTCCCAATCTCAGTAAATCGGCAATCCTTTTCAGCAATCATGTTTATCATCAAACTAAGCAGGCTGTCAAATCTGTTTTCGCGGTGCCTGATCTCACTCCCAATACCATTCATCTTGGCCATCCCCTCATCTTCAGCCACAAAGATCGTTCTCAAGCTTATGCTTTCATTCTCAATAAATTTAAAGCCAAGCTGACAACTATCAAAGCCAATAAGCTTAACCACGCTGGTCGCCTCATTTACATCAACTCCGTTCTAGCTTCCATTCCAATTTACTATATGTCTACTGTTCTATTCTCCAAGACATTCATAGAAAAAATTACTTCTATTATTAGGAGATTTTGGTGGGCTGAAATTCAGGAGGACAATATTTCTTCCCCCTTCCACTTCAGATCCTGGGACGACATCTGCCAATCAAAAGATAATGGGGGCCTGGGAATTAGAGACCTTCTCATTGTCAACCGCAGCCTCATCCTAAGAGCAGCCTGGAACATTGCCTCTGAAAAAGATCCTTATCTGGCTGCCATCCTAAAGGCTAAATATTACCCAAACACTTCTTTCTGGCTTTCAAAAAATAGCAACTCCAAATCCATTTTCTGGGCCTCTATTCTTCAAGTTAAGCAAGATCTCAACCAAAACTGCACCATTCAGATTCACCAAGGTAACTCTAGTATCTGGTCTACCCCTTGGTGTCCTCTCTGGGACACCATTCATGATCACCTCAATCTCCCTATCACTCGGCCTAACCTTCCCTAATCTGTTGCTGATCATTGGAACTCCAATACTCAATCCTGGAATGTAGATCTTATCTCTGAAATTTTCAGTGCTCAAGCAGCCCAGGCCATCACCCAAGTTCAGACAGTTCCCTCTCAAGAACCACACATTGTCAGATGGAGGCCGGCAAAAAAAGGTATTTGTACCTCTAAAGAGGCCTTCAGGCTTCTAAACTCTTATTCACAGGTTTAGCTTCCTCACCAAGGATCCAGAAGTGTAACGCCGCAAGCAATGTACGTCCTCAGAAGATCTTGGAGACACAAAACACTCCTCTCCTCAAGACTTTCTGCTGGAGATTAGTCAGAAGAGCCATAGGCACGGGTGAGAGAGCAAAGAAATATTCTAATAAAATCAGTAAGCTATGTGTAACCTGTAATATCTCTGAAAATGATGCTCATCTTTTTTTCCATTGCACTTTTGCAAGAGCAGTTTGGTTCTCTGTGAATCCTCCATTGTGTTCTTCAATGTTACCCAGTGAATAGGATGGTGTACAGGAATCTCTTGGACAGCTTGTGAACCAACAAACCACTGATGACCAGATGATGACCATTCTCACCACTCTCTGATGATGACCATTCTCACCACTCTCTGGTACATATGGAAAGCCAGAAATGATTGTAGATTTAACAACAAAAAATGGACTGTTTGGCAGGTGCATAATGCAGTGGCGGCTGACATCGCTGCAAATTCGATACACATCAACCGACAAGAAGGACAGGTACAACACATTTTACAACCAAATGGCCACCAAACGAACCAAGGTACCCGCACTCCTCAATTGCAGGTACAACAGTTGCAGTACCCAACAGCTCACAGCGTCAATCACTCCAGACCCTGTGTATGATGAGTCAACCACTCCAAACCCTGTCTACGCCGAGCCCTCCTTTCTACAGGGTACAATTGCCAGCCATTTTGCCCGGCACTAGGTGCTACACGGATGCTTCAACACCACCGGATTCGACTCAACAGGCCCATAGAGCAGCAGGTCTCGGTGTGTTCATCGTCAACACTCACCAACACCAAGCCTCTACCATTTATATCAAAGCTTTCATGAGCGAGACCACTTCAGTGCTGATGGCTGAAGCAGCAGCCATGGCTTTTGCGGCATCAGTGCTCTCTACTATGGACATTCAGAGTCCGATCTTCTTAACAGATAACCAGCAACTGGCAACATTCTTCAATGCAGATGATCACTCCTCACCTCCACAATGGGACATCAAGAATATCACTCAAAAGTTTGTCAACTTCAGCGCTTCAAACAACTGCAGAGTCTTCAAGATTCCCAGGCATCTAAACACCACAGCGCATCTACTAGCCAGTCAAGCCTTCCATTCTTCATCTATGTATTCAACAGCTAGACCTATATCCTGCTCTAATCGAGCTCATGTAACCAGATGCCCCCTTCGTGAGGCTCTGAACTCTATAACCTGGGAGGGCATCTCCCTCTCCGCAGCTTCACGCTGCTAATAAATCCTGTTAGTTATCAAAAAAATTCTAAATTATTATTTTAAAAGCCATTTGGAAAAAAAACGTTCTATATATTATTTTCGTCCTTAACAGCTTCTTTATATCTTATATACATACTCTAGAGAGTTATTCTCGCTCTATGCCTCTATCTTTGGTTAATGACAAATCCAGATAGAGAATATCAATATTTCGAGATCTAATTAAAAAACTCCTGGAGCATTTTTTTACTAAAATCCCTATTCATATCAATCAGAAAGAATATAAAAACTCCGCCTATGATGGGGCGTCTTTGGTGTCTCAGCATAACAGGTCCTAAGCCCTAGTAAAAGAGGAGGGCTGTGTTAGGCGCAGCGAGCCAATGTAAAAACTTAGCCACTTTTATGGTGATGAAACCCAAAAGAATTCCGTTGGGGCGTAACCCTCTTACCGCCGCGCCATGTCGAAACCCGGGTATGGTATTAAATGAGCAAGGGACGGGTTGTCACCCCCGTGACGCGTCGTGTCGTGATTTGGGCA